TCTATAAAGTTTTTGTAGCTGCTTTGGGTTTTCGGTCTCAGTGATCATGTCATTTACATTTGGGGCAGGTTTCCTTTTTCCTTAGCAGTTTTTCTGTATATATTTGTCTTTGACTTTGAGCACAGGCTAACCTTCCAGTGTGATTCTAAATAATGCGGGTGGTGGTGGAGGGAAATAGACATCATAGCCTTGTTCCTAACATCACAACTAAAGCAGATTTTTGTGAATACCTCCCGTCTCCATCAGGTTAAGGAAATTTCCTTCTATGTTTAGTTTCCTGTGAGGTTTACTCATGAGTGGATGTTAAATTTTACCAACAGTCTTTTTTCTGCATCCACTGATGTGATGGGTGGTTTTTGTGAATGATATCATAGATTATTCAATTGTCTTTTGAATATTGAACTAGCCTTCTAATTTGCAGGTAAACCCCAGTTGGATCTGGCGTATCAGTCTTTCAACACACTATTTGAATTGCTAATATCTTAAAAAAGACGTTTGCATTTTTATTTAGAGGGATACTATTGTCTGCAGTTTAATTTTCCTGTGTCAAGTTTTCTGGCTTTCATGTCGGGTTAATGCTGGTCTCATAAAATGATAAAGAGGTTTTCCTTCCTTTTCTATTTTCTAGAAAAAAGCACGCAGACCTGGCGTTATTTATTGTTTAAGCGACCAGCAGAATTTACCCCTTTCCCAAAGAAAGGTTCTCATAAAATCTGGGCTCAGCCCTGTTTTTGGCTTTCAGGATGGGTTGCTCTCTGCAGTCGAAGGCTTCAAATACCAACTCTGCAAGCAAGGGACTATAGGCCCCGATAGCAAACATTTTCAGCCTCCTGCCTCTTGCGGAAATCACTTATTTTCCATGGCAGCCAGGCTCAGGCAGAGCCCGTGCTAATGCCCAGTGGAGCAATACGGAAAATCACACAGCCTCTCTGGACCTGGAGTGCCAATATAGAAAAGTGTGCTCACAGAACTCGAGGTTTCTGGAGTCAGGGATAATGAATTGCAAACAATTCCTCAGCTCACAAAGGAAGGGGCAGAGGTGAGCACAGTGGCTGATGGAGATTGGAGGCAAGCACCCAGGGAGCAGGGCCCACTATAGCCTCTGCGACCTGCCCATGCTGGACACTCCCATTCTCACAGGTGTCCAATCCTGTGACGCCTCCTGGACCCCCCACTGTGCACCAAGACTCAGAGACTGCAGAGATGTCTCCGAGGTAACCCAGCTGCAGGCAGAACTGTGAGGCAGCCAGGATTCTGGGCAAACCCTGTTTCTCTGCTGTTGAGTAGGAAGAATCTGGACTTGGTCCTGAAAGCAGAGACAATGGGGTCCGGTAGAGGGGTGTCACAGGGCTTGAGGGTGCTGGCCTTGGACCAGGCTGCCTGATGCAAAGCCCTGTGTAGTAAGACTGGGGCTGGGTAAACTGAGGAACATCTACTCTTCGCTGCAGTCTGGCACCAGCAGTGAGATGAGGCCAACGTTGTGCCCATCTTACAGACTGCCTGTGAGGATTAAACCAGTTAACAGCCAGTGCTATGTAAAGCTGCTTGTCCGAAGAATGAGGTTACAGAGTGTGAGCAGAAGCTCAGAGGCCTATGGCCTGCCTTTCTTGCTGCAGTTGGGTGCCAGAAGATGACTTTCCCATGGTGACACAGTCCTGTGAACCACAGACCAGAGCCAGTTCCAAGACCTTTACATTGATGTTCGTGCACCATAGAGACCCATATTCTTAGGGGGAGACCAGTGTGACAAGAGGCAACACAGGTGTGGAGGCAGAACTAGCAGGAGCAGGTTGCTGTCCTCCCTCCTGGGTCCCTTCCTGGGGGAGGTGAGCTTTCTGGAAACCGAGGGCTCAGGAGTTTGGAGGCGTGGCAGCTGCAAGTAACCTGCATGGCCCTTGCCTTCGGGAGGACGCTGCACCTCGCGGCGCACCGGGCCTCGCCGCCCCTCCACCCACTCTGTCGCAGAGGGCACGCGCCCTAGGTATGAGATCACCGGAGTACCGCGTCCCTTCCGCGATGCTTAGGGTCTGGCGCCACCGTGTGGCCGCCGGCCATGCTGCGTGGGGAGCTGGTGGACAAGCTAGAAGTAGCTAGCTGGGTGGCATCATCAGAGGTCATCCAGAACAACCCGATGGGGACAGGCGAGAGGAGAGGGAACTGCTACCACTCCAACTGGTGTTTCCTGACAAATGAGGGCGCATTTGGGGACATTTGGAGGGGGAATGCCTGTGCCCTTGAGGACAACAGCATGTGTAAGCAGAGGGACAACGGCTTTGCTTGTGCAGCAGGGGGACAAGCAATGTCAGGGAGTCAGGAACCCTGGCTCTGCCTCACTGTCCAGGTGGGGGTGGCTGAGACAGAGGTCAGCTAGCTCTCTGATCTGGGGTCCTCACCCATAAAGCAGCATGCAGACCTCACTGTGCTGCAAGTCAGTGCCCCTGGCCTCCTGTGGCCCCAAGAGGAGCACGGGGACAGGGAAGGAAGAGCATCTGGGAGGGAAGGGAGCTGGACCTCACTTAGCTCTTGCTCCAGGGAGAGGCTGTGTGCTCACTCGGGTGACCAGGAGGCTGACACTCAACTTGGGCAAGATGATCACTGTGGGGTCCTGGTATGCTCTGTACCCGGCACCTGTTTGCTGGAAGGCTTTGGGTCAGCTCTGGCGCAGCCCTTCCTGTGTGTGGGGAGGCTGTCACAGAATAGATAAGTTGGCTTCTCCTGCAGGCGTTCCAGTTCAGTCAGCATGTGCTGGGTTGTTTCTCTTCCTCTGCCCTGGCCTTGCTGGGCAGAGAGGTCAAGCCTTTAGGAAAATGGGCAGGCAGTGCCCCTTTTGCCCGGGAAGGGCAGCCCTCAGTGAACCTGAGTGTTGGCGTCACCGCAGGACCCAGATAGACAGACTCAGTTTTGCCACACAACCACTCCTTTAGCAGCTGGCCCCTCGTGCGGATGGAGCAGGTGGGGTCTGTGGTCTGAGCGCATCTCTTTGTGCTCTGGCCCCGGTGGGCCCAAGCACAAGGGCAGTTTTGGATCAGGGACCAGGTCTGATTGGTGTCCCCATGGTACATGGCCGCACTGGGTCTTTTCTCTCTTCTGCTTTTGGTTCCCCCCTTTACTCTCCTCCTCTTTCCCATCTTGGTCTGCGCATCTCCATCCCTCCCCTCCCTGGTCACCCACAATCTACCCATTGGATGGGGCACAGCAGCCTCCTTCCCTTCCTCTCTGAGTGTCTCCCTGGTTCCTTGGTGCTGTGAATTGCCAGGCAGGCTCCCAGGGAGAGGCAACAACTCTTGCCAAGTACCACAGCCAAAGTGCGACAGAACCTGAAACAGACTCCAATGCTTTGCTTTGCCTCCAAGCCTCAGGTTCCCCACTTGTTAAACAATAAGCAGACCTGGCCCTCATGGCATCTGGGGACTCCATGAGCTGGCAGACCCTCAGTGCTTGGTGGGAGCTGGCACCCTTGAGCCTCCCCCCATTGTCTCCCAAGACACAGTTGCCTCTGCCTTGGGCCCTTCTTTAGTCCCAGGTGTGGGTGTCTCCACCCACCTCGAGGGGTATCTCCAGTCGGGTCCCTCTAGGACAGTCACCCAAACTTCCTCAAAAGGCTCTGGGATGGAATGCGATGGCACTGTTCTCCAGATGTCAAAGCGGGGGCCTGTTGCTGGCACATGTGTTGGAGATCATGAGAAGCAGGAAAGACAGATAAAATGGGGTAGTGAGAACAGGGGTGAGGCCAGAAAGGGTGAGACCAGGGTCCTGAGACCCACGGGCTATTCTGGTTGCAGAGGAAGGGGCACATCACTCTCTGGGTCTGCAAAGAGCATGTGAACTGCAGGTGGAGAGGTTGTCATGGGGCAGAGGGGGCAGTACAAGCTGGCGAGGAGGCTTCTGGGTCGATGCTGGCAGTAGAGACAGACAGGACCATCCATAGCCCTAAGTGGGCACTTGGAGATGCTTGAGGACAGCAGGACCTCAATGGAGTGTATCTTTGGGACTTAGGCGGGGCATTTCAGAAGGCTTGGTAATATATGTCAGCTTCTCCCGTCAGCCTGGAACCTGCACTGTGCTGAGGCACCCCTTCTTGATCTGATTAGGTGCACAAAGCCCAGTGCTTTCTGACTCCTGGTTTTCCTGGTGCTGTAATCCTCCTCTTGCCTGGGGTTGGAGACGTGGCTCCAGGGTGAGTGTGCACAATGCACATCTTGTGGCTGATGGATTGCCTGCCACCCTAGAGGCACTGTCATGAAATATGAGGCACAGGACATAGGACTGGGACAGCTGGCTCGAGGTCCCAGTTTGCAGAGTTGACCGGAGCCTCTGCTTTGCACTGGTGCCTGTGTCCTTTGCCCCTTGGTCCTTCCACAGAGCTTAGGTGTCATCCTGAGGGTCAGATCAGTGGATGCAGGACTGCCTAGGGATGGAGGCTCCCTTGTGGTCTCTGGGCCTCCCTGGTGTAGAGGGGGACACAGGAGCCTAGTGGACAGTGGCCTGGGGCCAATTCCTACGTGCTCTGCTATCCATGCCATCCTGAGCAGGTGAGGTGACTGCTCGGAGCCCCAGAGGTCCCTCTCTGCCATCAGAGAATTATGCCCATCGACTCATCACCTGCGTGTGGCCAGCCCGGGAATGGTACTCCTTCCTCTCCAGGGTACCTAGAGGGGGTCAGCCTTACAGAATGCCCCCCAACCCTGAATCTGGGGAAGCTCATGCTTGCTAACCTCACCTGAGATGCTTAACTGGCCAGTCCTGAGATATGGCCCACTCGCTATCCAGATAAGCAGATGGAGGGCAGGAAGGGGATTCCCGACCCCCAGGTCCTAGCACCATGTCCTTGGGCCGGAAGAAACCCAGACTCTCACCAAAGCCTATGGGAACTTCTGCCCACAGGGTGGGAGGGGAGCCCGGTCGGTCAGGCAGCTTTGGGTTTTAGGGGACTTCTGCCAGGTCGGGTCCTAGTGCAGCCGCCGCACCCACCCACGCTTGTGCGGTCTGTCTCCCCGCAGGTATATCCGCACCATGTACCTGGGGATTCAGAGCCAGCGGCAGAAGGAACACCAGCGACGCTTCTACTGGGCTATGATGTACGAATATGCAGACGTCAACATGCTGCGCCTCCTGGAGACCTTCCTGGAGAGCGCACCCCAACTGGTGCTACAGCTCTGCATAATGATCCAGAAGAACAGCGCCGAGACGCTGCCCTGTGAGTGCCCTGCGCCGCCCCGCCTCTCAAGGCCCCACCCACCGACGTCCCGCCCACTCTGTGGCCCCGCCGGCCAACCGACCCCGCCCCAAACCCGGGACCCCAGCTTCTTTTGTGTACATCTCTGGGAACGGGATGCCCAGCTCAAGACAATGCTGACGCCTACACGATGGTCCTGAGTGGCACGTATTTCCCCGCTCGCTCTGTGCCAGACTGCTTGGCCTTCCCAAGACATCTTAATCCCACGGCAGCGCAGAGAGGGGCTCCTGTGCGCCAGGTCCTGCAGAGGGCAAGGCCCTGGGTCTCTCCATTAGGCGGAGCGGCCCCTTTCCTTGAGTTCTGCCCTGGGTGAGGTGGGGAGCTCGGCCTGGAGACAGCGTGCGGCCCTATGCCCGAGTCCGAATCCCGTTAGGTGTCAGGTGTGGGTCTTTAAACTGTACTGCTCTTCCTTCTGGCTCAGGCTTGTGAGACAGCCTGCAGGGCGTGGGCTCCAGGTGGGCAGTGAGTGGCACAAGCCTACCCCTGGCCCAGGTGGCCCCAGGTGGCCTCTGGGGAACCTCAGGAGCCCAAGCACTGTGCAGACAACGTAGGTCTCTAAGGCACCCTGCTGCAGGAGAAGCTCTCCTGGGGTCAGGCGTGCAGGTCAAGGCCAAGTCTCAGAGCATAAGCGAGGGGTTCAGGAGGTCCTGCAGGGCAGGAGGCATAGGATGAGAAGGGCCCAGGCCTGAGACTCCTGGGAAAAATGAGATAGTCTGGAAGACTTGGGATACATGAATTCTAACACCTGAAGCCATGTCATGGGTCGAAAAAATGCCTTAAAGGGCAGTGCAAGCGCCAGGGAGACATCAATTGAGGCGGGAGACATCCATCTGGCAACAGGGAGATGGTCTTAGGAAGGAATGAGGGTCTCATCACTAGGAGTGTTAAACAGAAAAGGTGCTGAGGGGATTCATCCCAGGGCTGCTGCAGAAGTTCATGGGAGCCTGTGTGTTCCAGCAGCCGGGGAGGCTGGTGGAGAAGCATCTGCCCTTCTTGTCCTTGCTCCTCTGGGCTAGTGGGTCTCCCGGCTGTTGCCTTCAACACAGACTGTATATAGCGTCCGGCAGTCCTTATACTGTGGCTGGCGCTGCTTTTATTGTCACTCTGCCTGCGAGCTGGGCCCAGATGTCACCTGGAGATCTGGGGTGGTGGGCTGTGTGAGGACTCCACCCATCCTACGCTGTGAATGCTGTAGATGGGCAGGAAGGTCACTGGTGCTTTACCAGCCAGACTTTGCGCTCCTCTTGCCCTGTGCCAGCCTCTCCTCCCACTGTGCCATTGCTCCACCCTCTGGTTCTCACTCATCACTTGGGTAACAAAGCAATGTTCAACCCGCCAGATGTGGTTGTGCGACATCTCCCAACAAACACAGATTCTGGTGGAGTAATAATAATGTGCTGGAGTCATCTGGACATTTTTGCAGGGTCCTCCTTGAGTCTGCTGTCTTAAAAGACTAACTAAAGATAGAAGGGAGCGTTTGACCCTTTGCATTTCTGCTCGTACCGTGTCCCATGCCTGCTGGCGCTGGGGTTTGGGGTGGGTTTGGAACACAGACTGATGTGGCAGAAAAGGCAGCAGGAACTGTGTACAACTCTCTGCCCTGCTGTTTTTTGGACTTTATGACACCTAACCGTGCTTGCTCTTCAGTGAAGTGAGAATAACGGCAGCTTCTGGAAGTTGTAGTGAGGGTGGGGTTGGCCCCACCCGTGGCTCCACAGCATGTTGTTGGCATGGCGTGTATGTGAGACAATCTGCCATTCTGCAAAGACCCACTCAGCCAGGAGCCACAGTGTGTGCTGAGGAATAACAGGGGATGCGGTGGTCCTGGTCCCCACCCTTGCAAATCTTCCATCCTTCCCGGGAGACATCATGAAATGATTAGACATGGGAAGTCTTGATGTGGCTTGCTGTGGGGCCAAGGAAGCCTCTCTGGCTGACAGGCTTGAAGGCTGACAGAACAGCGGAAAGCAGGAAGGAGCAGCAATGGGAACAGCACATGCAAAGGCCCCAAGGCAGAAAAGGCACAATTGATGTGGCAGGGCTTAGCAGTAGGAGAGGAGGAAGGCAGCAGAATGCAAGGCCCAGAGGAGGGCCCAGTGGCCCCACAAGTTTGAGCGTAGGCCATGGGCAGTGGGAGAGGCCACACAGAAAACTCTACCATCTGATCTGTACAAGGGGCCTGGGACACCCAGTACAGATGCTGGGGTTGTCGGGGTGTAACAGTTTGGAGCCCAAGAGTGTTGGGAAATTGAGCAGTAGGTATGTCGGAGACTGTTCTGGGGAATAAAACATGGGACAGGAAAAGATTTCTGTGTGTACTCCTGGAAGAGGGTGGTTTCTAACTGGGCATCTTGGAAAGAGAGGGCCTGGGCATGGACTGAGATCTGGCAATTACACTATCTTTCCTTCCCCTGGCACATTTCCGATGCTTCGGTGTGAACTTTGGCCAGGGTCGGGCTGGGGGAATCACTGTTCCCTCACAGTGCTGGAGTGGCTAAGTCCTCCTCCTCACAGGGTTCCGACTGCCACCTCCTCTGCATCCCAGCCTGGCCCAGGCATTTCCAGAATGAGTTTGTAGTCACCTATCCTTTGAGCATTTAGAGTTTGGTACGCTGCATTTTAGATTTAGAAACAGGTATGGGGTCTTTGGGAGCATGGAGAAGGGAACTGTTTCTGGGGACATCACAGAGGAGGTGACATTCAATCTGGGTCTTGATGGATGAGTAGGAGATCACTTGGGGGAGAAAGCTGGACATTGGGATCGAAAGGCTGAGAGCCTGGGGAGGAAGGAAGAGCTCTGAGCATGAGGTCAGTGGGGTGTGCTACCCACAGGAAATGGGGGAGACAGTGGTGCTGGTTGTGGCTGTGCCAGCAACACTAATTAAGTATTGGGGAGCTCAGAACCAGGATCTAGTCTAAGCTTATATGAGTGGATTAACTCATTAAAGCTCCACAGCAGGTCCCGAAGCAGTTGCATTTTACTATTCCCGTGCTATAGATGATGATGCTGAGGTCCTAAGAGATTGAGCACCATGCACAAACTGTAGGCCTGTTAGGGGAGACAGGGGCCTTTACCCCAAGCCTGTGCTGCAAGCCCGGGCAGCTGTAGCTGAATTTAGAAAAGGCAGACTTGAGAGGACTCCATGGGAGCAGGCCCCTGATGCAAGGGCGGAGGAGGGACTGTCAGGCCCTTAGCCCAGCTGGGGACCAGCACACCCATCAGCACTGGTGTGTGGGTGGGCGTGAGTTCCAGGTGTCACCGTCATCACAATGGTTGGGCCAGAGATCCGCTTCTGCCTCTTGCCTGCTGCCTGTCTTCTGGAGCCTGGTAATTTGAAAATGTCCTCAGTGTCAGAGCTTCCTGCCTGTAAAGTGCTCCTGGAGACAGCTTAGTGTGACCAGCCAAGGAATGGGCCTGAGACTTAGGAACCCCTTACCGTCCCAGTACTCTGCTAGTGATGCAAGAGTTGTGTCCTTTGCCTAACCCTTCTTTGGGAATCATCTCCATTCCAAGTCCAGACATAACCTCTTTCTGTAGCCAGAACATGATTTTTTCTCTTCTTGAGCCAGTGGCATAGCGAATCTGCTATCTGGATCCTCTGGCCAGGCAACACCAAGTCTTAATGCTTCCTCTTCAAAGTCACAAAACATACTATTACACAGAACCTGCTGAACTGCCTCAGTCTAGCCGAATCAAGCCTTTCAGGGAGGTTGCCCCTAACAACTGGGGTTAGGGAGAGTTATTGCCAAACAGCAGAAAAACCCAAGAATAGAAGAGCCAGTGGATTTGCTTGCAGTTGATACTGATACAGTATTGTCTGGCCATTTAGCCGTGTTTGTGCATGACATGCTGGCATAAAGAGGAACATTGCTCTGGGCTGCCTGAGCCGACAGAGGTGAGCAAGGTGGTGGCCCAGGGGAAGGGTCCAGGAAAGCAAGTACCGAGGCCTGAGCCGTTACTAACAGGGAAGAGCTTGTTAATCTACTATGCACCTTAGTGTGGTTGTAGGAGCTGGAGACAGATACAGTAAGAACAAAAACCAAAGAGAACCCCTGCCCTTGTGCTGCCTGCCTTTCTTGCAGAGAGACAGGCAGTAAGCAAAGCAAACATTTTGTCTGAGAATAACCAGCCCCGAGGGGCACAATGGAGCCAGCAGAGAGGAAGCCCAGCAGAGCTCTTGCACCCCTGATCCAGGTGGAAGTATTCACCTGGAGCTGAGGTGTACAGGTGGGAGGGAACAGGGTGGCCGTATGGACGAAGGGGCTACAGAACGAGGGAAGACAGAGGCAAAGCCTTGGGCAACGATAGTTGCTTGTGTCTGAGGCCCAGCGGCAGGCAGACAGGAGAAGAGAAGACTTAGCACGAGTTCCCGGAACCAAGGCCCTGGGTCAGGCAGGGAGCCCTCTGTGTGCCCAGCTCAGCCCTGCCCTCACGGTCTGGTGCACAGAACTGCTCTGTGGTGAGAGCCTCCCACCTGTGGCCCACATGAGGAAGCACCCAGCTAAGGGACACTCCATGTGTGCAAAGTCTGCTGAGCTGAGCTGGCCATTGCATGGGGTTCTGGGCAACTCTGCTCTCAGGTCCTTAGGACCACAGCAGGAACTCCTGTACACCTCGGCTCCAAGGTGATCTGTGAGTACTTCCACCTGGTTGAGGGGTGCAAGAGCCTCTGCTGGCCACCCTCACAGAGGGCACCCCTTGGCAGGGAGCCCCTTTCTTCCCTCCCCCTACCAAGTGGCTTCATTTGCAAACTACAGCTAATCCCCTCCACCCCAAGGGATTGGGAGGAATAGGCAGCACCTCTGCTTGGGCACACAGGAAGCAGCCCTGGCAGTGGTCCGGGTCACTGGGCCTCTCTGGGCTGTGCTCTTGCCTTTCTAAGCCAGGAGTAACCTGCTCTCCTCTGCTTCCAGTGGGCACCAGAGTGGTAGGATGCTCTTCTCCAGGCTTTGGGCATTAG